AGATTTTCCTAGAAACTTGTGCTCAGACATTTGCCTCTGGTTTACAAAAGTTCAAAAAATCTTGGCTGGGTGTTATAACTTGGAACTCTCCCAAAGTGCCCAGAGCAGTATTTTGTTCCTGGACCGTTGAGTGACACAGTATTACCGCAGTAAATACATCATTGGCTTGCCCAAGCAGGATTCCTTGTCATTGCAGAGTAACTGCTTCCCAGAATCTTCTTTCATGTTCCCCTCTGCTGTGAAGAAGAGGGCCTGTGGCTTTGTGTGCAGCTGTGACATTTTAAAACCTTTTCCAAAGGGTGGCTGTTGCCTTGAGAACTATGTCCTGTTCAGTGTGAAAGAGCCTTGTAGATTTTATATAGTCATTTCTTTGGTGAAAATATATTCATAGAAACCGACCTCACAGCTTGTCTTTTTGAAATGACTTTTGGCTGTTTTCTTCCTTCTGTGTCAGCTGCCTAAACATTAAACAGGCAGTTGATGAAGCCTGTAGTTTGATATATATTGTGGATCCAGGTAATCAGAATCTTGATTCTCATCAACAGATGTTATTTAGAATTTGGTTTGAGTGACCTGCTGTGGTTCATACTGTGGTATAGAGAACGGAAGCCTGGGCATCCTAGTTCAAATAGGAATTCTAGTTTCACTACTTCCTGAAAGACATTGGAGTCGTAGTTTTTCCTGTCAAATGAAGTTCATATTCTTTACGTACTACAATGACTAAAGATTGATGAGATGATCTGTACCCACATAGTAGGTCCCCTGCTTGTGATAGATGATCAGAATTATAATCTGTTGATGTTGCTTCAGTGTCATGATGAGGATTATGATGGCTGACACTTAACACACTTGATGTGTCAGGCAGTGCTTTACAACTGTTAGGTCATTGACTCTTCTGACAGTTCTCTGAGGTAGTGCTATCATTACCCCAGCTTGTAGATGAAGAAACGGACAGAGGTTAAGTAAGTTGACTCAAAGTCAGAGCTCGGTTGCTCAGCCAGATCAAAGCACGTAGGCCTACACTGGGTAGCCAGAGCCCTGTCATTACACCATGTGATCTGAAATGATCAGTCTGGCCTGACTGAAAGACTGTATGAAGCAGTCTTTCTTGGAGAGATCCCTTAGCTAGTAGTTTAGGCAAGAATTAAGAAGAGAAGTGTGGATTTTCCACTTGGATTTAAATCCTGAATCACATCCTTGGCTTAATGACCTATTATGGCTTGTGCCTAGATGCCCCTCCAAAGCCTCATGCAGTCATAGACAGGGCTTTTTCCCAGAGGTGACTAGATCTAGAGTGTGTGATACTGGAATTGATTTATGATGCAGTGCTAGGATTAAGGGTACTAGGATTAAACGTGGGAGTGCTTCTTGCCCAAAGTAGCCTGGATACCAGGGACAGAAAGAGCTGTGATTGTCCCTTTTGCTTTGTTACCTTCTACCCACCATGAACTGTTTCTCCTCTGCCATACCACCCTACTTTGTAGACTGAAACTTCTACAAACTCCAAGCTAAATAAATTTTTCCTCCCTTAACTTGGGGTGTTGGATATTTTGTCTCAGCAACAAGAGAAATCACCACCTCATTTTCCCTAAAGTCAAGACAACTCAGTCCTTTAATGAGTTCAGAAGTAGGTTCGAAGTTTTTCTTTACTTGTGTAAAAGAGTAGGGAATACCCAGGGCAGAAGGCAACATTCAGAATTTTAGTTACTGACAAAACTGAGCATGGATAGAAATGCCCTTAAGGACAGATGGGAGGGTCTTTCTGGTGGAGGAGAAAGCCAGTGATCATATTTTCTTAGGGGGTTTTATGCTGTCATGGATCCAGAATACAGCAATAGAATGGAATATTTAGTGTGTTATGTGGGTTTCATTAAAATCGAGATCATTTTCATTTTGAATTTATATAAACTGTAAATTAAGTGATTCAGAACCCAGATGAATCCACACATTGACAAAAATCCATACTTAAAGTATAAACTATGGCTTTTTGATAATTAGCCAGTAATTTATAGTTTGCAGGAGAAAGGTTCAAAGCACACAAGCTAAAGTTCTAAAGAGCCCAAAGACCTTTGAGGTTTTTCCCTTTCTGTGTCCTACTTTTGTGATCTTGGGCAAGTTACTGCATAAAATCTAAATCTGTGAAATGGGGAGGATAATTTCTATCTATGGGCTTACTGTAAAAATTTACAGAGCATGCTTGGCACGTAATGAACATAAAAGCAGGAGAGTCATCACAGTAGGATTCACGGAGAAAGTCCTAAAACATATTTTCAGGAGACAAACTGATTTAATAGAAACAGGCAGGCAAGAAACAAGAGGGTGAATGTCAAAATGATGACATTCAAGGTTTTGAGAGTAAGTCAAGGAATCATGTTATCAGGGTAGGGCCCCCTCCTACTACTTCCATTCACCCTGGGATCATGTGTCCCAGGAAACGGAAAAAATGTACAGAGGAAAGAGCCTGAAATTCCCTCTGATGCAGCCAGACCTTGGCTTCCAGTGCTCAGGAAAGCGCAGGAGTACATGTGATCCAGTGTGAGCGCACTGTCAGTTCAAAAGTCCAGTGCCCTGTGCCCTGCTGTCAGAGTACCCATGCTGGGGCACAGGATTATGCATGGTGAGAATGTCTGTCTGCTTAAATAGGCCCTGTCTGCTTTGGAGTAAATGACTGCAAATGAAAACCTGTTGGAGATACCACAATGTGTATAATTTGAAAATAATTACACATTTTCAGAAAAATGACATAGTAATAAATTAGAGAACTTTATATGTATTTTTTAAACTACTAAGGTAGTCTTTACTGTTAGCAAATTTTAACGATATGAAAAAATGAAAGTACTCATAATCTCATTAGGATTCACATTTTAGAAATAAAGTTGTCTTTTTATCTTCCATGCATTTACATGTTTTTACAATTGTAATTATCCTGCAAATAGTGTGCTATATTTGCTGTCTTCATGTTTTATGGCATTAAATATTTTTGTAGGATCATTCTTAATATTTTCGTGGTATTTCAGTGGTAACTGTTTTAGATAGACATGAATTGTTCCCACATTTTGACTATGTTCTTAAATAAATTACAGCTGTCTTGGTATCTGTGGAGGACTGGTTCCACACTCTCCACATCCACAGATACCAGAACCTGCACATGCTCGAGTCCCTTGAATGAAATGGTGAACATTTGTTCTCGTTCTTTCACATACTTTAAGTCATCACTAGGTTACTTTATAATGCCTAATACTATGTAAATGCTGTGTAAATAACTATTATACTGCATTGCTTAGGAAATAATAACAATAGTCAGTACATAGTTAGTATGGGTACTATTCTTTTTCCTAAAGTGTTTCAGTCCATAGTTGGTTGGATCCACAAATGTGGATACTGTAGGTCAGCTGTGTTATAACTAAACTTTGTACTCATACTTCACTGTAAATTCAGAGAAGTGATGTCAATGTCTCATACACAATGTGCTGCTAGGAGGTACTGGGGCTAAAGGCCCAACCATGAGGTGATTTCCCAGAAAGCTGCTCTCCAAGTTTTGGGGTGACTCCTTCCTTTAATGGCCTAAATAGCCCACAGCTAAGTTGTCCAAAAGTTCAGCTAAGTGTGATTTTTCTGTGGCTACTTCCAGCAATGACTGTGCCCACATCCAGTGAACAACAGACACACCTGTCCATTGACAGGTGTTAGCATTGATGGGTGACAGGGAGCAGGGACTGTAAGAATCACCTGCATTCATACTTGTATTTACTTCACAGTTTTGAAGTTAGAACCCTACTATGTATGATGTTGAAACACTGTCTCTTTTTTATCTAAATCCAGTGAATGAAAGCTTTTAAAAGCACTGTGTAGACTTACGCACATGTATTTATTTAAATAGTCTAAAAGGGACTGGGTATATATAAGAACTCCGAGAAGAACTCTATTAAGAACTCTGGTGGAACTACTAATGAAATTCCAGTTAGAGAAAAGACCAAACAAAAAATGAATCTCTACAATGCTGTGGAGGAACATGTAACACAGGAGAGGAAAACTACGTGAAATGATTAACCACAAAGTACTAGATGTGAATAATCAACAAGGTGACAGTAGCTAAAAAATGCATGTAAAAATACGTGTTCTGCCTGAGAGCCCAGCGTGGACTCAGCAGCAGCGTTCCTCAGTCCCTCACACCTCCTTCCGTCTGAGCAAACACACCTTTCAGACAGGTTCCTGTGCCTCTCATTTTTTTTCAATAACCCTTAACAAATCACAGGAGCAGTCATTTGATTCTGACCATTGGTTAGGATGTTAGGAGTTTCCTGCAAACAACAACATTGTCATTTTGTTTGACAAAGAAATACATGAATAAATGTATAAAGTACCCCAATGTTTCATTAAGATCTGCCAGAATCCTCTGTGTGATACAAGATGGCTAGAATTCCTGGCCTCTGAGATGACTGAACCTTTGTTTCTTGTGTTTTCATGAATGTTTTGACAAAAATGTGATCCAGCAGCCAACTGTCTATCACCATAACCCAGAAACTTGAAATTTATTTTCTTAACTTTCATGTTTTTTTAAAGTTGCTTGAATTTTTGTACTTTTATCATATTAGAGTTCTCAACATACCTTAACCCGCTGTAATTCATTAGAATGATACTTATTAATAATAAGTACCACTGAAGGGGTGCATCCTGCCTAGCAGGCACATTCCTAAGGGTCACTCTTGAATCATCTCTGATCTCCATGATCATCCTTCAGGGTTAGTGTGGATCCCCAGGAAGGAGAGGCTCATGCCGAGAAACCGTGCGATCGTGTGCAACTCCAGGCCACTTACCTCTCAGCTGACCTGAGGGAGAACTGAGTGGGAGCAGATATGTGTGGGGGACCCCAGGCCCTCGAGACAAACTTCAGTGTTTTCCTTCAGCATTCCCAGCTTTCCCCAGTATGTGGTAATTTCTAAGTGTTAAATTCACTCTTTCAGACTCCCTCCCCTCCTCCTGCCCCTTTGGTCTTCCAGGCCCCCAGTACCGCCTGGAGAAGCAGAGCGAGCCTAACGTCGCTGTGGACCTGGAGAGCACGCTGGAGAGCCAGAGCGCATGGGAGTTCTGCCTGGTCCGCGAGAACAGTACGTTGGCCGCCTCGCTCCGTGCCTGCTTTGTCCATTGCAGTCGTGCTTAGGGCGCATGTGTTTGGGAACACTCACTGGCCTGGCTTCCTCAGGCAGATTGGAAGTGACTGTTTCCCAAGGCAGACCGCAGCCTTCGTGCCAGAAACGTATCCCAGAGTAAAATGATAGAGTCTGTGCTGTTTGGCAGTGTCCACATCCTGTTTAGCACTCTGTGATTAATATTTGTCTGTCGAGCTCTGTCTTCCTAAGTTAGGAACAGCCCTGGAAACAGCTTAGAGACGTCAGGCCTTTGCTGAAGCAAAAGCTATTTTTTATGTAAAGCAACTGGCCTTATATCACTGTTCAGACGTCGAGTTTCAGAGGATTGTAACAGTTTGAATATTCTTAGCAAAAGGAAAAGTTGTCATTCCTAGTGCCATGTTAGGAACTTTTTATAAAACTTCATTTGGTTTCTTTCGTTCGCTCTCAGTTTCCAGGTTGCTTCCAGGCCTTTGCTGCCCCTGCCATCTGTGTGCACTCCCGCTGACTCGGGGAGGCGCGGTATGAGAACGGCAGTGGCAGCAGCAGGCTGTGCTGGTCATTCGCTCCTGCTCCAGGGCTTTCACAAGGCTGCTGCTTCCACCTGGTACTCCCTTTTCCCGTTCTGCTTAACCCTCATGCTTCGTCCCAGCTTACAGGTCCCGTCTTCAGAGCGGCTGCCGTGACCCCCTGTCTCCTTACCTAGGTTTGATCATTCCTCTCTGGGGCGCCCTGTTGTCACAGAGCATGTATTTCTTCACTGCATATGCTTCTGTTTCTACCTGTATTTCTCTCAAAGGTGGATTAGTGTCCTGCCTCTCACTAGATTGTCAGGTCTGTGAGGATGCTGCTAACACCACTGTGCCCTGTTTTAACTCAGTAGCCCTATAACGGCCATACTGCGGGCCATCAGTAAATACATATGGCATGACGAGATGAACGGCAGCTCTTCATTCTAAGCCAGACCCACCTGCTGCCCTTTGGCTATGGCTCCTGTGGCCTCCTCTGGTGCAGCATCCTCACAGCTCACCAGGAAGGTGAAATGGGTTCTCAGCATGTGGCAGCTAATTCTCTAAGGAGGTTGGTCACAGTGTACAACCACAACTATAAGAAGCTTATGTAAATAACACAAAGAAAAATCATTGATTCTCAAACGGTCCCAAAAAATCTGCGTAAATAGGAAATGTTTGTTAAGATGTTCATTCTTATTAACAATCTATATATAAACATTTTAAACCAAAAGGTAGTTCTTTCTACCTATTGAATAAGCAACTCTTATCGAAAAGAACCTTCATGCCAGGCATAGTGATGCATGCCTGTAATCTCAGCACTCAAAAGGCTGAGGCAGGAGGATCACTGCAAGTTTGAGGCCAGCCAGGGCTACAAAGTGAGTACAAAGCCAGCCTAAACTGCATAGCGAAACCCTTGAGACCTTTGTCTCAAAAAGGCAAAGGAAAAAAGAATCTTCACGGATAGGGACAATACATACAAGGACATATAGGCATCCTCAAACTCTGGTAACAATAGAGTAACTTAGCATGGCTTATTTAGAAGTTCCCAGAAAGCAGCTCTCCAAGAGAGACTTTAAAATGTTTTATCCTGTGTTTCTGCTTTTGGAATTCTGTCTTGAGGAGAAAATATCAAAGATGCAGCAAGTATTTCTGTAAAATAATATTTGGTGTGAGTGTGTGTATGTAATGTGTGTGTTTCTGGTTTTTTGTTTTTTAAGTACTGAGAGTTGAACTCAGGGCCATGTACTGAGCTATACCCTTTTATATCCAAAATATCCTTTTTTTTAATGTTTTATCTTGAGATAGGCCTTGATAAATTGTTCACACTGCCCTTGAACTGGTGACCCTCCTGCCTCAGCCTTGTGAACTGCTGAAATTGCAGGCATGTGGCACTGCTCTCAGTATAATGATAGTTCTGTCCCTTTCTCCACACTCCCCCTTCCCTGTATTATTTCCAATTGGGAGGTGGTTTGTACCCAGGCCATCCTTAAACTTACTATAGCCCAGACTGACCTTGAACTTAGAATCCTCCTGCCTTAAGAAGATTTCCATGTGCTGGGATTATAGGTACATGCCACCACACCCAATTTCACAGTATTTTTCCTAATATCTAAACTGATCTGAATGTCAGATGATTGATGTCTCCCTATTGATTTCCTGTAGGATATGCTGTCTGATCACAGTGAAATCAAGGGGAAAAATAGAAAAACTGCAGGTGTTTGAAAATTAAGACATAAGCTTTTGAAGCTGTGTGTGTGTGTGTGTGTGTGTGTGTGTGTGTGTGTGTGTGTGTATTCGGTACCAGGGATCAACTCATGACCACGCACTTGGAAGACAGGCACTTATGCCACTGAGCTAAATCCCTGGCCCCAAAGCTGTGGTTTTTTAAAAAAAGATAATAATTTTTTAAAAATTTTAGCCAAAGGCCAGGGATTTAGCTCAGTGGCATAAGCACCTGCCTGGCAAGCACAAGGTCATGAGTTCATTCCCCGGTACCACCAAAAGAAAAATTTTTTAGCCAGGTATGGTGGTACACACCTGTATTCCAGCCTCCAGAAGACTGAGGCAGGAACATTGCAAGTTTGATCTAGGCTGGGCTATTTAGCAGCTTATTAAGAGCCTGCCTCAAAATTTAAAAGCAGGAGAGGGCCAAGAATGTAGCTCAGTGTGAAAGCCCTGGGTTCAATCTATAGTACTGAGGGATTATATATATACATACATATATATAATTTTTATGAAAATTCTGTGTATTGGGGATATGGCTAAAATAGTATTTTAAGGAAATTTTATAGCCTTCAATTTTACAGTCTTTTAGGTATTACAAAAGAAGAGCTAAAAATAATGAGCTAAGCATTCAGCCCAGAAAATTAAAAAAGAGACTGGGCATAGTGGCACACACCTTTATCTCCAGCACTCAGGAGGCTGAAGCAGGAGGATCACCACAAGTTCAAGACAAGCCTAGGCTATATAGTAAGTTCAGAGCCAGCCTGAACTACATAGCAAGACCTCATCTCAGAGAAAAGGAAGAAAATTAGAAAAAGAGACCTAAAAGGGAAGCAAAGAGCAGAACTTTATAAAAATCATAAATATCAAAAGGAAGGGTTGGTTTTTTGAAGAAAACTAATCAAACCAATAAAACTCTGATTAAATGAATTAAAAACATGGTATAGAAATAACAGAAAAATACTAATAGTAATAGGACTGACAAGAAAATACACTATAGATCCTACGACATTAAACAAGTCACAGATTATTTTGAAAACTATTTAAAAAATTTTGAAAATGTAGATGAAAATAACAAATTTCTAAGAAAAACCAGCTTATCAAAAATTGACCTAAAAGAAATTGAAAACCCAAATGCTTCCATAATTATTTTAAAAAGTCACATTAGTAACTAAAAACCTTACTCAAAGAAAATCCAGTCCCAGATGACTTCATGGCTAGCTCTGTGAGGGAGTAAATAACCCTAATCTCACATCAGCTATTTTCAGACTAGAAAAACGCTTGCCTTTTCTGATTCATTTAAAGAGGCTGTCATAATCTTGATGCCAAACCCCAGTAGAGACCACACAAGAAGAAATTCTTCATACTTGTCTTCCAAACACAGATTTGAAAACCCTAAACATAGAATAAAGTCCAGCGTTTTATTGAGAAAATACATCGCCAAGTTGAATTTATTCTAAGAGTACAGAATTGGTTTAACATTAGAAAAACCCAGTCCATCTAATTTGTCGCAACACCAGATTAAAAAGGAGAAATATGAGGGCGGGGGATTTAGCTCAGCGGCATAAGCGCCTGCCTTGCAAACAGGCAGTTATGAGTTCGATCCCCAGAACCGATAAAAAGGAAAAAGAAAAAAAAAAAAAAGGAGAAATATGTTTTAGTAGATGTAGAATGTTATTCAGCCAATAAAAGTAGTGTTTGGTATTGAGAAAAAGTAATTTTGATATGATACTACAGAGAAAGAATGGCAGAATTACAAAATAGCACATATAAGCTAGTGTGAGAACAAAACAAGCAAAAAAAAAAGAAAAGAAAAATTAGAAGGAACTCCTTGGCAAGTGCAAGGTCCTGAGTTCTAGTCCCTGTAACCCCCCAAAAATTTTTAAAGATCATATAAAAATTAGAAGGAAAATGTTCATTGTGGTTATCTTTGGTTGACAGTAACTACCTGAGTAATTCATTTTCCTCTTCGATACAGACTTGTGCTTTTCAGAGTTTCTAAAGTGAGCATATGTGATTTTCTGAGAAAAAGCACACCAGAAATAAGGGCAAGTTCATATACACAAAGGTTAATGAGAACCTGTCCTGTGTAAACTTCGGACATGCGAAGTCGCAGACACTTGGAGTACCCTGGCCTGCCCAAGGCAGTGGCACCACATACCCCTGCCTAACGTGGATGAATTCTTCCTGATACCAGTGGCCAGTCACTGCCGTACTCTTGGTCATTTTCTCTTGGAAGACTGTTTGTTTAGCATCCTGGTAAATATTTTGGGTAGGTAACACTTTTGGACATCAACAGTGTTTTTGTTCAGATGACCTAAGTGTGCTCATGGGGAGCCCCGTCTGCCCACGCTCTGCTTTCCCTCCCAGGGGAATAAAGAAGCATTGTTGCTCTCTTCAGTGTTGTTCCAGGGCTCCCCAGTACACAGCAAGCATATTCTGTGTGTCTGTGGGAATCACTTTGTCCACACAAGCAGACACACACTCAATGTCTATAGTTCCACTTTTTAAAAAGCACATGATAGTGAGCCTTTCCCCTTAACATATTAGCAGTATGTCATATATATGATTCCCTGCTAATCACATACTATGGTATGTGTGAATCCACCAATTCCTTTTTAACTGCTGCACAGTATTCAGCAGTGTACAGTGTATCATGATCTCAGCTTAGCTATGCTTTCGTTTCCACAATAAGGGCCAACTTCCTCCCATTAGGATACAGAAGCCATGAGGACGGTGGATAAA